TTTCCATGCAAACGACTTTTCAACTTTAACTTTCCTATCATGTACACAGTGGACCATATGTCCCTGTGCCATTTTTATTTTAACCGGTTTTGTTTAATCGTTTGGAAAAATGATCGAATACGCTACTGAATTCCTCCGAGTTTATACCACTTAGCATGCAAAAAAGTGTGAAGGATGACAATTATTGCTTTACAAGACACTTTCAAGAGAGGCACTTACGATTTTCCATAAATTTCTCAACCAATCATTAGCTCAAATGTGTTTTTTACCGCGTATCTTTTGTTCCCTGACTCCATCCTAGACTTCTATGATTCAGGTAAGTTTAAAATTGCTATAGGCATCTGGAGATGTAACTTTTTCATAATACCCATAATTACATCCTACGAGTGAGGCTGAGTTTAATATTCTCATCATTAATGCCTTAAAACGATTTGTGAATAGTCTTTCAGCTCTTACCCATTTCAGAGTCTCGTCTCTTGTAATTGTGTCTAGACTCCCTCAGGATTTGACCTCTGTATCTTATTGATACTTGGTCTGACACGTTTTCCACACTTTTATTATTAGGCAAATAACTGCAAAAATAAAAGAGTTAAATGCCGCAATTCGCTACGACCAGGGAATCAGTCAGACTTTGGATGGACTTCATTACAAACATTCACACCAGAAGTGCGAGATCATTTCCCCCATCACACAACTGGGCCCACAATTGAAGAATCCGCTTGTTACAATTTCTATAGATAGACTGCTTTAATTTTCTATTGCCCGAGTCGACCTTAAATCCATATTATGGTCTCTAAAGGGCTTCTCTTATTTTCAGACTTTACTTTATTTTATAGTGTTGGTTTGTGCGAGACTTTGTGGAGTGTACTTAGTCATGCATCATCTGTCATAGTATTCGTGATTTCCTGATGCTCCGACCAAGTTGTAAAAACGAAGTTTAACCAACACCCCTACCAACAAATAAAGGGCTATACCATCTTGGTATTCATATTTTCAGACTATTTTATTAAGTTTCTTTTAATAATCTATGATGCAAGTTTATCGTGACGTCGTATGGAATTATAAACTTGAAATCATATGCATACTTTTATTAAGTGTATTCTTTGCATATTTCATAAAATGTATTGTGGTGAGAATGTCTACTATTCCATTTTATTACATTATAATATAATAGTATCAACATTCTAAGGAAGAAGTCACTAATATAACTGTAAAAAACAAAAATTTCAGACCAGTTGTTTTATTTATAAGAAATACAACTTTGATAATATGCATTGCTAAGTTATGCCATCACAGTAATTAGATAATGTGGATTAGTAGAGAAATTTTCTATACATATAATATGTCATTTTGACAAATTAGTAATATTTAATCCAATCCTGTTTGCCTGATCTCGGTCCTAGTGTTTGAATTCATGTTTTAATTTGCTTTAAAGGTGTTTCCATAGACACTATTTTGTAAAGTGTCAATGTATATTAGTATATATGTATTAAATCATTGTATTCTAATTATCATATATTGTTATTATGTAAATATTCTTCTCTTATAATGGGTTTTCGGGACTATCATTGGTTCTTAATCAATAATTTAGTCATCGTAGATTATTTGAGAGCCGATAGTTGAGTTTTCTCACAATCTAATGACTAGAGAGATACCCTCAAAGTGTTGCTATACGGGAATTTGAATTTTGTGATAACGTTTACATTCCACTGAGTTATCTCACAAATTTACCATCATACTTGTACCAAGCTGCCCTATACCACTTGTAATTTTATTAATGTTGGTTGAGATATCCCGGTTGTACATTTGGGTCTCGTACAGATGAAGTAGGAGGCTTACCTCGTTCCTAAGACAATAGCGCAGGTATTTGTAGCAAATAGTTTTGCGCTTAGTTGCAAACAGGCTGCCGATGATTCATTGTATTTGGTAATAAAACTGTCAGAGCCGCATTCTTTTCGCTCTGCTAAGTGGATTGAGGAATAAATAAACAGTTATTTTCGACAAATTAAGTAGAGTAGTGTTACTTCATCTTGACCAATAGATGTTAACTTCTTTCTCTCACACCTCCTTGAATTTTTTTTCTCTCTTCTTCTTTCCCATTTATATTGTTATTAATTTGGACGTCTTCGCGATTTACTCCACTCTCAAACTGCACTGACTACAGAGTTGCCGAACCCGCCAACTGATCTTGAGGTGCGCAGTGTCGGTGGCACATTTGCAGTGTTACGCTGGCGACCGAGTACTTCGCAACGTATCGACTCTTATACTTTGTCAGTAGACGCCGCACCCGGCAACAAAACCAACTCATTACGACGCCTTCAACTGGCAGACATTCAGCCGAGGCCGGACATTGAAAGAGCGGGTTTCGTCGTCTATAACGTGACCGATCTAGAGCCGTTTCGAGTATACCGAGCCTGGGTACATGCGGCGAGTAAGGTGATCGGACTTTCATTGCCCAGCGATCCGTGTGAATTCCGGACAGCCGAAATAGGTGAGAAGTCCGGCTGCACAAGAAGATCTTCTTGTCTGCTGGCCGGGGCGTGATTAAAATTAGAAAACAATCATATTTCATATGATTAATATGGATATATTAGAATATATCGTGTAATAACAATGCAACAATATATGTCGCAAAATAATATAATATGTAAATATAATATAATGATAATTTACAAAATATACAACAAATTATATGCAATTTGATGTAATATTATTTATTTTTTTATGTAGAACCCAATTATAACGAAATTTGCTTGCCTGTAGAAAAATGTTTGAAGTTCACGACTCTCAAAACTGAGCATCATGAAGGATGCATAAAGTAGCTTAGGCTAAATGTTATATGGTTGCTAAACCACCACCTCCAAGTCATGACTTCTAATTAGTGGGAACTTGATGTTCTCAGAAGTTACAAGGCAAACGTTACTCCAGCCAATCCTCTTTGCCATACTCTTTGAAGTTGGTCTCTGCTAAGAAGAGGATAACACAACAAAGACCAGTTCTGTTTGTCTCTTTCAAATTTGACGATAACTTGTCAATTGACTTTGATGCAATAATTTCACCTCAAGCAGACGCATGCCACATGCTGAGCATTGGATTGCCCAATGGAGTTTGCAGTTTAAAAATAATTGCTGGACTTTAGGCACACTATTGCCCACATTAATCTGGTTTTGCAAGAGTCTTTAGGACTTTTTCTATCAGTTTTTGCCAACTAGGGATCGAAATCATACTATAAGACTTTCCCCATTAGAAAAATCGTTTTAAGGGAGCAATTTCCGAGTCCAAAGGGTCCACTAAAATATATACAAAGAAAGCCTGGGTTTTGGTTTACACCTTTTGCGCCAGCCTACATCTTAAGTGAAAGTGTGTGATGAAGATAATTGAAGTGTGATTCACACAGAAGACGACAGGGCATTCCTCCTGGGCAGTTGTGGCTTGGCCCTACTAGAACCTGATTTTGTTAGTTCATTTCACACGTTTGCGTGTATGTGTATGTGTGTGTGCCAATGTGCGTTCATGGGTGAAGAGTGAAATAATTGATAAGTATTATTTTGCTTTTTGGATAAGTTACTTAGTCAGCTTAGGCCACTCAATTTCATGTATGGGATGTCAAGCTGAAATTAGCATAATGCAATGAGTAGGCCGTTAAATTTAACTTGGCCTTGTCTTCCAAAATGTTTTTATATCCCAGCCGGCAATTCTGAATAAAGTTCCTGACTTCCAGTTGCAATCCCATCTTTTGGCATTCTGTAAACTCAAGCCTAGTTCCTTTTGGACGAATGTTATTCCTAGCAAAATGACACCGATAGGATCATTCATTGTCTTTTTCCTTGTTTTATAGAGTTTTCGCTATGATAAAATATATAATTCTCCTCCACATCTTTTCGCTGGATAGGAGAAACTAAAATAAAATGCATTCCTTTGCCTCATTTCCTATTCACTTTACTCATTCTACCCATTTCGGATAGGGAATAGTTTGTAAAAGCTGAAGAATATTTCGAGGTAATTTATTAATTATACGATGTTTTACCTTGAATTTTGCTATTTTTACTCATTACAAGCTGATGAAAATATGTAATTTAATTAAGTAGACTAATAAGGATGTCATTTTGAGCATAGAATTAGTCTGTTCCCTCTGTGTATGATTGGCCGGTATATGGAATGCCTACATCCTACCCAGCAATAGGATTTATGCTATGAAATTTATTTAATAGCTCTGCGTTTACATCCTCTACTACAAACTGGGAACATGTGCTAGGCAACGTTGAGCCAGACTTTGCAGTCAACACAATTAAGACTGCTGCTTTTAAGTGTCAGAAGGCCATCGGTTGCAGTTGAGTGAAGAAGTCAGTACCCACTCGGCCGAGTTCCACATCAGAGAGGATGAGCATTACATTTCCTCATGCACTATCCGGCACAAAGAACTTTAAAAAGATTTTATTTGTTCCTCGACAGACTAGTATGTCGGAAATAGGAGTCTCGTGAATCGTTCTTATTAATTGACATCGCCGATTCTTTTTATCAGTTTTTCCCTTCTCCCCTATTCCCATACGAGAAAACACTGTGTGCGACACAACATTACTGTGAATGTTTGTTTTTCTCGTAGGAAGTCAAGCGGACTTTTCGTCACTTTCATAGCACATGGATGTAGGATTATTTAGGTTGTAAATCAATGACAAATGTCACTTAGATTTTGACAAACAATGCATTAGTCTACCTAGGCCGAATATCCCAAAATAATGCTTACTGTGTCATTCATTGTGAATTTTCTTTTGTTTTTGTTGTTTATGCTGTTCCCTAAATGTAAGAGGAAGTATGCGACTCGTCCAATTTTTCCTCCATCCGCCATATACGTGGCATAAGCCCCCAAAGATTTAGCAGGGTTTCACACGATTTATGCCCTAATTTATAACTTTGTTGCTCACTGCAATTGGTGCCGATCACATCTTGGCTGCGTTATTTCTGTAAAACAAACTAATTGGGTAGAAGTAGTAATGGTAGTGTCCTCTTGCAGCCGAAACCTTTATGCCAGCCCTCAGTCGGTCGTTGAAATTATCGGTTGGTTATGAGGATTTAATAGTCGAATTGCCCATAGTTTATAGAGATATTCTAAAGTTGGAAATGAAATTGACAAAACACTTTATCTCTAAATTGCACTTAAAGGAATGGGAGTTGTATAGGATGCGACATAAAACTAATAGACTCCATTTAACTTTTTAGCTTTTGTCAACTCTCTATCCCTGCATAGTCAAGCCATAGGCAAGGTGATTTAGTGGGAAACATGATTTCCTAATATTGCTTTATACAAGTGATACCTATGGATACATTTGGGACTTCCCATCAGCTTACAAACTTCTTGTCATTTGTTTGGCAAAAAACACTAGATTGCATAGGCAGATATTGTTCTAATAGAGAGAAAAATAGAAAGAGGCAGGGAATTTCAAAGATTCGAAAACAAACATAAAGCAAAATAGGCAGTTGCCATCAATTCGGTTAAACCTTGAACTAAGGCAAACTTGTGAGTTTCTGGGTACGTAGCAGAGGCCCGTTTGACCGAATTCATATATTTCATTTGTAAAATGTCATTTCTTTTTGTCTAATAATTGAAAAATTAATCCTATTTTGGAGTAAAATATGATATTTTCTTGTATATCCCTTGCAAAAATCCATGCACTTACTTTCCACAATATGAGACATGCTATACTCTAAACTTAGGAAGGAAAGACAAAAAAGGGAGCGCAAGAACATATTTAAGCGTAATTACGCTAAATGTCATTCTGGCTGGTTGGCGGCAAGATGTGCTTACAAACGAAGCGGATATCTTTCGTTTGTAACTATAATAATGTATTACTGCAAGTAGGCTTATAAACACATAAAGAAAGTGGCTTCAAAATTTCTGCGTATTCTTAAATCTTATAAATCTAGAAACTAGCAATACAGATAGTTCAGGCTCTAGACCACAAGAAATCTACGAAAAAAAATCAAAAACATACACTTAAGAGTTTGCACGAATTGGTTATTTTGGGTGAAAAGGTCAAAAGCGCTTTTATAGTGTCAAAACTCGACATTACATGAGCGCGACAAAAAGGTTAAGTGGTTATAAACTCCATTAACTAATTGAGTAGGTTTTCGAGACTACCAGCAAATCAGATATACGAGTTGTGTTCACCTTATTTCGTTTAATATTATGAAAGATGTGATGGGATGTGGGTAGAGCTGACGTTTTCATTGCATTTCAGAGCCTTGTTTTCCCAAAAGTTGTTCTCATTTAGGCCTAAGTCTTATAACACCCCCAGCGGGAGTCGAAACTGCAGTCCACTCCAGCCGAGATGATAATACCTTTTGGGAAAGCAAAGCTATGTGAAATGTAATGGAAACTTCAGCTCTACTCATAGCATTGTGGAAAAATTCAACTACCAGTCCTTCGTCATCTTAAACGAAATAGGCTGAATATAACTCAATTAACAGATATTTCTTAAAATGTTTTTTCGCATTTGGAGCTTTGTCATAGTACTCTGTAATGCTGTGTAAAGCCTAGTTATGTTAAGGGATATGTAATCTCGATGTGGAAATAATTTTTTCCCACCCTTCGTTCACAATTGTTCTTTCCTATCGAATTAAATGTTTCCTCCACAAAGCAAACTGTAAAAAACTCCCATAAAGCTTTCACACTGATTTCATTAATACTATGCCTACCTTTAAGGCTATAGTCAATATTCACTAAACTACACTATAATTCATTTTTAAGCTTTTCACTATAGCTTTGCATTTAGACAGTCAGCTTACTTTCTTTTTACTCGCTAACTTGCTCGGACAAATCGATAAATGATAAATAAATATAATCAAATAGGAATAATAAAGCCTTTGGAGAACTTTTTTATTGGTAGAGAAAAATCGAGCATAGGCTCCTTTTACACAAAAAGAGTATCCTCGAGTCTATGCCCATCAGAATTGGCGTAAGGCACTTGTAAATTATACAAAATGTATTTCAAATTTTTACCTTATGGCCCGAATAGATGCTATTTTTCCTACTGGCCCTTTTAGTTACTACGCTCCTCTCATTTCGCAGCCATTTGTATGTGTTCTCTTCTACAAAATGGCAAACGGCGAACGAAAAATCAAATTAAAATTTATTTGCCCAATTCCATTCATAAATTTTAGTCAGTTTATGAAAGCGTTAAATTACGATAAATAAAATTTTTGTTCATTTTAGGTGCAAATCGTTCTTACTTGTCTGGATGCACTCTTCATTTATTTCAAGAATAAATCATATATTTATTCAGAATTTATATAATGTTAAACATCTCTTTTCATTACACCATTCTTAATTGCTGACACTTAGAGCTAATTTTATTTTTTATTAGACAATTTGGTAAATAACTCAACGTATTTCTTTCTTTCTAGCCCCAGGCTCTTCACCTCTGGTTGCTTATGCTGAAGCAGTTTCAGGAAATTCAGTATTTGTCACCTGGAAACCACCCCACAAAAAGAATGGAAGAATTCAAGTTAGTTATTTGTCCTCATTCAAGTAATTTTCATTTCATCTT